CAAAGTCTACAAGAGTCAGGGTGTGATGTTCTGTAAGATTGTTTCTATGACTCTACTAGAGAAAATATAGAACGTGTGATGTTGGAAGAGTCAAAAGTTAGAAAGTCACGAGTCTACGAGAATAAAGCCAATTATTTCTATATAAATTATACATCCGTTCCAGGTCGTGACTTATGTWCGTTTATATCGTACTATTTTCAATAAAAATATATAAACTTGTTTTACAAATTAAYATAACATGAACAAAACGGAACAAGTCTAATAATAGAGAAACTAAAACATTTACATTTCGTTCGCTGAATACGGAAAACTCGTCGAAGCGACTCAAATAGCCAACATTATTATGACGAATACGATGTCTAGAAATATATGGTTCAAAATCTGCAATGAGYAATCTTTTTATTTTTATTTTTATAACTAATCTTTAGTTTTCTTATCTCAAAAATTGGCAGATATGCTTTTCTTCTTTAGTACTCGTAGCTCTTGACTAACTGTRTTAAAAGACCTTTCTGATAAAAGCTACACTKCYTGAGCWACTGTCRCTGAAGTATAATAGTCCGTAAATGTTGATAGAGGGTTGACTTTGTACCCCACAAGTGGAAAATTGAATCTCGTTTCTAGTCGTAATTGYATCTCAGAAACAGTCGATCTATTACGCTTTGCCGTCGGCTAAAACTTAATTGTGCTTAGATGTAGAAACTTTTGATCAAGGATTACAATTAGTTGTCTCTCGGTTTTGATTCAATTCAATTCAAGTCTACCTCAGGCCGAATACTTCAGCTCAGATTAGGTAGATCCAATAGTAACAAAGCCATTAAACAATGCAATATACCACAAAATACACAAGAAATCTAAACAAGGAATTTAATAGATTGTTGTACAGATGCTATATAATACTGAGATGATTTTACAGATTTTACCTTGATTGATGATCAGTTCGAAGTTCCTTGCAGTCGAGTTTCGAGTTCACTTGTCCGTTTGGTGCACAACAGCAAACCTTTTTAGTGCCCTTTTGACAAACCACACTCTTCATTCTCTATTTCTGACATTTTCTCCTTCAAACCTGACTTGACCTTTTTGTGACGAAAATAAACTCAATATGTATAATTGTCGTTATGACGTCACAGCTTTTTTTCGCTCAAAATATGAATTTATACCATTTCCTCGTTCTCTTCTAAGTTTGACTTTTTTTAGAGTTCAAATATACTATTTATCAATGATTGGCTGACACAATGCTTTGTTTCTATTGGTCCATTTGATCAGTTTGATCACAGTGACGTCATAGTTAGTTCATTGTCATTGCGGGCTCAAGAGGTTCTGAAACGAACCCTTCTATGGCAGAAGAAGTCGATGAAATATGAAACACTGTCTGCCAAATCAATCAGGGTAACACATTTTCGGATAGTCCATCAGTTTGTTCTGTGCGAATCCAAAACAATACTCGTATAATTTTGGAACCTCTATTTAGCGACCCCCTATTTAACGGTCACCCTCCATTAAACGGTCAGCGAACAGTTTCCCGAAACTCGTCGGCTGTCATATATATCGTCTGTAAACTTKAYYTCTATTAAACGGTYAACCTCTATTGTACGGTCACTTGGTTTACTGATTTGAATGTTCGATTATGTCGTTCATTAAARYKCCTATGACGCCTGACAAAATAWTTTCTGATTSTCTGTAAACTGATTCTATATGAAGTAAATAATTKAAWKGTGAAATATTTCTGCATTTCAGTGTTGCGTTTTTGAGTTTTGACGATTTAATCTTCCAATATGCTAATGATAATGACGTCAAGGGAGGCTTTATTAGA